GTTCTACTTAGGAAGTGGTCTCCTGTGCCTATATCTTGTAGACTACTTCCCACTTTCTCTTCTATCAGGTTCAAAGTGAACAGATTAATGTTGATGTCTTTAATCCATTTGGACTTGAGTTTGTGCATGAATCTACTTTCATTCTTCTACAGGTTGACATCCAGTTATGCCAGCACCATTTGTTAAAGATGCTTTCCTCCTTCCATTGTATACCTTTAGCTCCCTTGTCGAAAATTAGGTGTTCGTAGGTTTGTGGGTTAATTTGTGGGTTAATATCCAGGTCTTCTATTTAGTTCCATAGGTCGACTTCTCTGCTCTTATGCCAATACCAAGGTGTTTTCAATACTGTAGCTCTGTAATAGAGTTTGAAGTCAGGGATGGTAATGCCTGCAGAAGTTCCTTTATTGTATAAGATTGTTTTGGCTATCCTGGGTTTTTTGTTTGCCATATAAACTTGATTATTGTTCTCTCAAGGTCTGTGAAGAAGTTTGGTGGGATTTTGATGGGGATTGCATTGAATCTATAGATTGCTTTTGGTAGAATTGCCATTTTTACTATGTTGATTCTCCCAATCCAAGAGCAGGGGAGGTCTTTCCATTTTCTGGTGTCCTCCTCAATTTCTTTCTTCAAAGACTTAAAGTTCTTGTCAAATAGGTCTTTCACTTCCTTGGTTAGAGTTATCCCAAGATATCTTATGCTATTTTTGGCTATCGTGAAAGGTGATGTTTCTTTGATTTCCCTCTCTGCTTCTTTATCCTTTGTGTATAGGAGAGCAACCGATTTTTTTGGAGTTGACCTTGTATCCTGCCACATTACTAAAGTTGTTTATCAGCTGTAGGAGTTCTTTGGTAGAGTTTTTGGGGTCGCTTATGTACACTATCATATCATCTGCAAATAACGAAAGTTTAACTTCATCCTTTCCAATTTGATTCCCCTTAATCCCCTTATGTTGTCTTATTGCTATTGCTAGAACTTCAAGCACTATATTGAAGCGGTATGGAGAGAGGGGACAGCCTTGTCGTGTTCCTGATTTTAGTGGAAAGGCTTTGAGTTTCTGTCCATTCAATTCGATGATAGCTGTCGACTTGCTGTATATTGCTTTTATTATATTTAGGTATGATCCTTGTATCCCCAGTCTCTCCAAAACCTTTATCATAAATGGGTGTTGAATTTTGTCAAATGCTTTTTCAGCATCCAATAAATGATCATATGGTTTTTTCTTTCAGTTTATTTATATGATGGATTACATTGATAATTTGCGTATGTTGAACCAGCCCTGCATCTCTGGGATGAAGCCTACTTGATCGTAATGGATAATTTTTCTAATGTGTTCTTGGATTCGGTTTGCCAGTATTTTATTGAGAATTTTTGCGTCGATGTTCATGAGTGAGATTGGCCTGTAATTCTCTTTCTTGGTTGTGTCTTTGTGTGGTTTTGGTATCATAGTAACTGTAGCTTCATAAAAGGAGTTTGGCAATGACTCTTCTGTTTCTATATTGTGGAATACATTAAGGAGTATAGGTGTTAGCTCTTCCTTGACGTTCTGGTAGAATTCTGCATTGAAACCATCTGGTCCTGGGCTTTTTTTGGTAGTGAGATTTTTGATAACAGCTTCTAATTCTTCGCGACTAACAGGTCTATTTAGATTGTTCACCTGTTCTTGGTTCAACTTTGGTATATGGTACTTATCTAAAAAAAATGTCCATTTCTTTTACATTTTCCAACTTTGTGGCATATAAACTTTCGTAGTAAGATCTGATGATTCTCTGAATTTCCTCTCTGTGTGGTTATGTCCCCCTTTTCATTTCTGATCTTATTAATTTGCATGTTCCCTCTCTGCCGTTTGATTAGTTTGGATAGGGGTTTGTCGATCTTGTTGATTTTCTCCAAGAACCAGCTTTTTGTTTCATTGATTCTTTGGACTGTTTTCTGTGTTTCTATTTTGTTGATTTCAGCCCTCAGTTTGATTATTTCCGGTTTTCTACTCCTCCTGGGTGAATCAGCTTCTTTTTTTTTTAGAGCTTTCAAGTGTGCTGTTAATTCTCCAATGTGTGCTTTCTCCATTTTCTTTAATTGGACACTTAGTGCTATGAACTTTCCTGTTAGCACTGCTTTCATAGTGTCCCATAGGTTTGAGTATGTTGTGTCTTTATTTTCATTAAATTCAAGGAAGACTTTAATTTCTTTCTTTATTTCTTCCTTGACCCAGGGGTGATTTAGTAGTTGACTGTTCAACTTCCATGAGTTTGTTGGCTTTCTGGGGGTAGCATTGTTGTTGAATTCTAACTTTAATCCATGGTGATCTGACAAGACACAGGTGGTTACTAATATTTTTTTGTATCTGTGGAAGTTTGCTTTGTTACCGAGTATGTGGTCAATTTTCGAGAAGGTTCCATGAGCTGCAGAGAAGAAGGTATATTCTTTCCTGTTTGGGTGGAGTGTTCTATAGATGTCTGTTAAGTCCATTTGATCCAATACCTCCAATAATTCTCTTATTTCTCTGTTAGGTTTCTGTCTGATTGACCTGTCCATTGGTGAGAGAGGAGTGTTGAAGTCTCCTACTATTAGTGTGTGTGGTTTGATGACTGCCTTGAGTTCTAGAAGAGTTTCTTTTACATATGTGGGTGCCTTTATATTAGGGGTATAGATATTCAGGATTGAGACTTCTTCCTGATGAATTGTTCCTGTTATGAGTATGAAATGTCCATCCCCATCTCTTCTGATTGATTTTAGTTTGAAGTCGATTTTGTTAGATATTAGAATGGCCACACCCGCTTGTTTCTTAGGTCCATTTGCTTGGAAAACCTTTTATCAACCCTTTACCCTGAGTAGGTGTCTGTCTTTGTGGTTGAGGTGTGTTTCTTGTAAACAGCAGAATGTTGGATCCTGTTTTCGTATCCAATCTCTTAGTCTGTGCCTTTTTATAGGTGAATTGAGTCCATTGATATTAAGTGATATTAATGACCAGTGGTTGTTGACTCTGGTCATTTTTGGGGGGGGGGGTGTAGTAGAGTGTATGTGTTTTCCTTCTTTGAGTTGTGCTTGTGAAGGGTCGCTAGATGTCTGAGTTATTGTAGGCAGTGTTGGGAATGTTGGATTCCTTGGGTTGTGATTTTCCTTCTAGTATTCTCTGTAAGGCTGGATTTGTAGCTACGTATTGCTTAAATTTGTTTTTATCCTGGAATATTTTGTTTTCTCCGTTGATAGTGAATGATAGCTTGGCTGGGTTATAGTAGTCTGGGCGTGCATCCATGGTCTCTTAGTTTCTGCAGTACCTCTATCCAGGACCTTCTGGCTTTCATGGTTTCCATAGAGAAGTCTGGTGTAAGTCTGATAGGTTTACCTTTATAAGTTACTTGACGCTTTTCCTTTGCAGCTCTTAATATCCTTTCTTTAATCTGAATGCTTTGTGTTTTGATTATTATATGGCGATGGGATGTTTTTTTTCTGATCCAGTCTATTCGGTGTTCTGTATGCTTCTTGAACCTTCAGAGGAATATCGTTCTTTAGGTTGGGAAAGTTTTATTCTATAATTTTGTTGATTATATTTTCTGGACCTTTGATCTGTAATTCTTCTCCTTCTTCTACCCCTATTATTCTTAGATTTGGTTTTTTTATTATGTCCCAGATTTCCTGAATGTTTTGTGATGAGAATTTGTTGGATTTGCTGTTTTCTATGGTCAGAGCGTTTATTTTCTCTATGGTGTCTTCATAATCTGAGATTCATTCTTCTATCTCTTGTATTCTATTGGTTATGCTTGTTCCTGAAGTCTCTGTTTGTTTACCTAGATTTTCCATATCCAGCCGGCCCTCGGTTTGTGTTTTCTTCATTGCCTCCATTTCAGTTTTCAATTCTTGAACTGATTCCATTACCTGTTTGATTGTTTTTCTTGGTTTCCCAGGGTATCGTTTACGAATTTAGTCATTTCTTCAAACTTTTTGTTATATTTCTTTTCCATTTCTTTACTCATTTCTTCAATCTTTTGGTTATATTTGTCTTCTGTTTCTTTAAGTGAGTTATTCATACCCTGTTTAAGAGACTCTATTGCTTTCATAATGACACTGTTTTTCACTTCTTCCGGAATAGTGTGTTCAAGTCTTTCTGTCATAAGATCGCTAGGATCTGGTGTTTTCATGTTGTTTTTCAGATTGTTGGAGGAATTCTTGCCTTGGCGCCTGCCCATCTCTTCCTTCAGATGCTCTCCAATGGCTCTTCCCTCCGCTGGGTCTTCTGCTACAGGATTAGTGCCCCTTGCTGGCCAGGAATCACTTTGCCTGCAGTCCTACCTTGCTGCAGGCAGGCTATTAAAACAAAGGAACTCCCTCCCGTTTGCACTCACCACCCCATCCCGGCGGCGCCCACATAGGCTGAGTTGGAGGATTTTATGCCCCAAAAAAGGGAGAGAGGAAGGGAAGGGGTTCCTGGCTGAAAGCAGATATGGGGTAGGAGGAGAGAGGGCTTAGCTGGGGGAAGCCGCCCCTTTGGAATACTCAGGGAGATAAAGATGGCTGGAAAATTGTGAGTTCCCATACCGGGCTTGTGTGGCCGTCAGGAATACACTTACCCCTCTATTGTATCTTCTGCTACAGGATCACTGCCAGCAGTCTCTTTCTTCCATCAATACTAGCATTATAGACATGCCCTGCTACACTTGACTCTCTTCTTTTTTGAAATTCATGTCAATATGCATTTTAATGACTGAGACATTTCCTAAGCTTGTTACTTTTTACAGTCTGTAATGGAAAGAGATTTGGTTGGGCTGGAGAGATGGCTCAGAGGTTAAAACCACTGGTTGCTCTTCCAGAGGTCCTAAGTTCAATTCCCAGCAACCACATGGAGCCATACAACCATCTATAATGAGATCTGGTGCCCTCTTCTGGTGTGCAGGCCTACATGCAGGCAGAACACTATATATGTAATAGATAAATCTTTAAGAGAGAGAATGAGAGAGAGAGAGAGAGAGATATTTGATTATCCTATCAGGAAAATAATACTTAAGATACTACATTATCCTTATAAAACAGATAATATTCATCCTTCCTCTGGCAGAGCTCAACCTGGGGGACAAGTGCTTGGATGGAGTGCTGAACAACAACAACTACGAGTCGGACATTCTGAAGGTATCACCTCCACACTTGCCTGGGCATCCAGTGAAAATCATGAAGCTTTCCTATAATTTTTGTGGTTCCTGTTAGGACACACATTTTCTCTTTAGCATTTGCCTACAGATGTGTACTGCCACAGCTGACAGCACACACTGTATTATCTAACCAGTATAATTAGTTAGTTCCGTAATTCCGTGATATTTATCAGATTTTTCCTTTGTTCTAAAATGAACTGATTTTCTGTTTGCTGATCATTCTGTCAAACCATATGAATTAGTTAATACATCTTACAGAGAGGGTATCTCAGTTCTGGCTCTTTTCTCTGACTTCTTTTTCTCAACATTTTCCTTCCCAAGTTTGAGGAAGCTAGCTCAGCTCTTGGAATTGTAACATGTTCAATTCTGCGTGTTATGTTGAGAACTTTACCTTCCTTGGGGGCCATTCATTTACCTACACACATCGCCAGACTTAGTTAGCTGAGCACCACTACACTCTGCATTTAGGTACATGAAAACTTTTTTGTAAGAGCCTTGAACAGAAGGAGGCTTCAGCAAGTAGTTTACAAAAGCAGAAGTCAGTTTAATGGTTTAATTTTAACTATGTTAGAAGCAAAGCTATGACTTGATTCTGTTCTCTTATTCCTATGTTCTTTTTAATAGTATTTAGTATTTAAACTTGCTATTTTCCTTTTTCCCTTCAGTGTCTTATCTTTCCTTGTGTTGTGAATGCCTCTGTGGAATTTTTTGAGAGAATAGTGATTCTTATTCAGGTCCAAAGGCCAAAGAGCCTCTCGGCAAAGAACTTGTAAAACCTAAGACAGGATTGACTCTAGTTTATCCACTGGCTCTGTGCAAATGCCACTCAAGGGTAGCTGTGCTTTGGCTTCATCTACCTTTTATGAAATGTTCTCTTATTTGTTTTTTGATTCTTCTTCTAAACTGGAATTTCTTTTCACACTTTTTCCCATCACAGAATTACCTGGCAACCAGAGGTCTGACTTGGAAAAATATGTTAGCAGAGAGTCTCCTGGCTCTACAGCGGGGTGTATTTCTCTTGTCTGGTAAGCATTGTGTAGCCAGCTCTGCCCTCCAGAATGGGCATTAATTTTTAAAAATGGGCATTGTAAAAGCATAAGTAAATATAGAATAAAAAAATTAGGAATACTGTTTTCATGCCCATCCATTCAGGCTCTTTGAAGAGACTCCATTTGTGGGTTATATTACAGATGGTGCCCTATTGAGTGTCATGTTTGTACTCAGCATGTATCACACACTCCCTTTTGCCAAGAAAAGTCTAGGCATGGTTTTTGAGGTAGTAGGAACTGGCCAGGGTTCTTGTGCATACTAAGCAAGTACTCTACTGTTGAACTATATCCCAGCCCTGCCTTGTTTTTTTATTATTATTACCTAGAGGATTTGGGGAGGGGAGAAACTTAGGGAGGATGATTATGACCCCAATTAGGCTTGGACTTGCTGTATAACCATGGCTGACCTTGATCTTCTGATTCTCATTCCTTCACCTCTTAAGTGCTGGCAGAAGCCAGCCTATACCACCATTTCCAGTTTTATATAGTGCTGGGGATCAAACCCAGGGCTTTGTGCATGGTAAACAAGCATTCTACCACCTGAGCTGTATCACCAGCCCTGCCTAGAGTTTTAGCTGTCTTTATTTAGCTCCCTCATGAAAGGATATTTTATTTCTCGTTTTTCATTACATTAATACCACAACTGTTGAGCATTCAATGATGTACACCTAAAAGTTGTCATTTTAGAATAAATGACTGGGATTTTATAACAGTAGTACATGAAACCGAGACTTTGCCACTTGAACACACTGTCCTTCTTAAGGTTGTATAGGTTTCCCCTCATTCCTGAGGCATCCCCTGCCTCTTGGCTTTACATTTGTCATTTAATTTTGTGAATATGGGAGAAGCTAACAGTGACTTATTTTTATGCCTTTGAATGACTGTTATTAACATTGAAGGTCTTTTTGCATTGATACTTGCTTATCTATGATCCTGAACTTTACATACACTCTTTGTGGGGGGTCTCTGGCTGCACTGACATGCTATCTTTGTTGAAGTTTACAGTGTTGCCCTTTGTGTTTGTGTTTTTATATTTCCATTTCAATTTTAAATTGTAGGTAGTCAAAATTAAATCTTTTTTTATAATTTTTATTTTCAACACATGTAGGTTTAGCATTCCAAATTTGAAAATGCCTCCAACATTTGTAGCTATAGAGTGCTGAAGACATGATACAAGAAGAAAACCTATACCAAACCTGCTATGATGGGTCATGTGTGAGATGTGTAGGAAATGTAAATGATTCTATCTTTAGAATTGGTCCCCCAATTCTCATTACATATACATAAATCACCAGACATTGTGACACACACCTTTAATTTCAGTACTGAGGAAACAAAGGAGGTGGATCTATCTGAGTTCAATGTCAGCCTGGTCTACAAATTGAGGTACAGGTAAGCAAGGACTCATAATGAGATCCTATCTTTAAAAACAGGTAGGGAGGCTTGAGAGATGGCCCAGCAGTTAAGAGCACTGGCTACTCTTACAGAGGATCCAAGTTTGGTTCCCTGAACTCACATAATGGTTTATAACTATTCCATAATTCCAATTCCATGGAATCCAATGCCTTCTGACCTCTGCTGGTACCAGGTATACACGTGGTATACATACATACATGCAAGCAAAACACTTAAAACACACATTTTTTTAATCCTTTGGGACATATACACAAATGTCACAAAATATGGTAAAAAAAATCTATAATTCAGAATACCTGTGATCCCACATATTTCAGATAAGGAATAATTAACCACACAAGTGTAACACAAGAGAAAATGTTTCCAGTCTTACTACTTTAGGAGGGATTTTTTAAAATATTCACATTTTTTTAATCCATATTAGATTATCTTACTACTAAAAACTAAACTAATGGGGCTGGAGAAATGGGTTAGTGGTAATAAGCATTTGTTGTTCTTGGAGAGGACCAGATTCCCAGCACCCATAGGTGACTTGCAACCATCTGTAACTCCAGTTCTAGAGGATCCAGTGCCCTTTTCTGGTCTTCTCAAGTATTGCACACACCATGGTACACAGACATTCATGTAAGCAAACATTCATAAAATAAAAATAAACATTTTTTTAAAAAACAGCTGAATTAGTATTTAGATTGGTTTTAAAATTGTTTTCCAGATGTCTAACCCATTGTCTCTACCTCATTATGGTATTAAGTTTCCTACTAGTTTGAAGTGTGCCTGTTTTTCTGTTATAAAATGGCATTTCCTGATAAATGGCTGAGTCCAGATGTGGCTACCTTTCCCCAGATTACAGAATCACTGGAAATACTGTGTTGTGTTATTGCTGTGGTCTGCGTAGCTTCCGAGAGCTGACCTACCAGTATCGACAGAACATTCCTGCTTCTGAGTTGCCAGGTAAGGAGCCTGTTCTGTCTGTATTGACTTCCCAACTCAATTCAAATAGGTACTTAGCATGGCTTTATACTCCATACCTAGCAGAAGTTGTAGCATATAGGCAGAAGACAGGCACACAGGATGGCTGAGGTTGCATTTGCTTTTCAGACTGGGTCAAGACCTATGGGTTTCTAGAGCAAAACAACATAAAGACACCACTAGACAACTTCATTTTCTTTACTTAGTTTTTAGATAAATTTGTTTTTCTTGTCCAAAAGTCTTGGCATGGTCTATGAAAACTGATCATAAAGAGAGATAAGATGTAAGCTTAGTAAAGACATTGTTGTGCTAGCATAAAGACCTGAGGTCAGTCCCCATAGGGGGAAAAAAAACACGAAATGAAACTGGTATGTGGGTCTTGCACCCAGGTGGGATTTCTGGAACCACATGGAAACTTAAATCATTTGTAATTCCAGTTCCAGATGATCTGGTGTCCTCTTCTGGCCTCGGTGGGCACCAAGCACACACACAGTACACTTAGGTGCATGTAGGCAAAATACTCTTATACATAAAATAAAATGTTTTTTAAAAACAGAAGAAGAAGGAAAAAGCCAGATATAGCAGCTCATGCTTATAATTCCAGAACTTGGGAGGCACAGACAGGCATGTCCTTGGTTTGGCCAGGTAGCTTAGTCTAATTGGCAGGCTTAATGCCATTGAAAGACCTTGTCGCAAACAAACAAGGTAGATGATGACACCTGACACATTGACTTCTGGCTTCTACACATACATTGTAACCATGTACATGCACCTATATGATCATACATAGGAACACATACAGAGTGACAAAGATGCTTTTTGCTCAGAGAGAGTTTTCTTGTATCTCCGGTTAAATTCATTTAGCTACATGAAAAGTGTGTGATACATCTAATGTAGACATATACTTTCTTTCCAGTGACTGTAACATCCCGTCCTGATTGCTACTGGGGCCGGAACTGTCGCACTCAAGTGAAGGCTCACCATGCAATGTGAGTGAAGCTGAGGGACATTTGAGTCAACTGCAGGCCCTCCAGGCTTATGGCTTGGAAAGGCAGCAGTAATAGTGAATTGTATGCTAAAAAAATGTACTAATTTGGGGACTTACGTTACCCTTGGTAGTAGAGTACAAAGTTCCAGGTTCAGTTCCCAGCATCCCACTCCACCCCCCAAATTCACATATGTGTGCTAATTTAATTCCTATAGCTCTTATACATTGTATAAGACAGCATTTTCATATAGAAATTCTGCTTTTACATTACTGCATTTCTTGAACTGCTTTTATGCAAATATCTGCCCCCATCTTTCATCTGTGTCTTCATGGTTGGAGTCACATTATGCTTTATCTGACAGTAGCTCTCTCTTGGTCAGTATCTGTGGTCTGAGCACATGTCTGCAAAGTTACTGGCCCAACTGGTGATAGAGTAACACCTGGGGTTTTCTTCATATTGTATGTGTGGCGGGTTGGGGGGTGACTTGTGTTATAACCTAACCACCCCCACTGTGGGTCTTTAACATAGACTTCAAATGCTATTCATAGCAACATCTGCATTACCTTATGAAGTCAGCACTCTGCACTAATCTTTTGGCTACTGTTTTTAAACAATTAGTGTTATGGTCCTCTGCTAGTCAATTCACTGGCCAGTATTTAATCTCTACACACAGATTTTTTATTCAGATTAAGGCAATGGAACCAGTGACCACAGTATGAGAGAGAGACTTCTTAATGGATACTTTTGTAATATAAAACCTTGTGTTGTGCTTGAGCATGAGCAGCAGACACCGTCTATTTCAAGAAAGAAACCTTTAGGTTGTAGAGTTGGCTCAGCATTTAAAAGTGTATGCTACTCTTGAAGAGGGATCTAAGTTCAGTTCCCAGCACTCACATTGGTCAGTTAGTAACCACCTCTTACTCTAGCTGCAGGGGATCAGATATTGGTGGCCTCCTCAAAAACCCACATATCAGGTGTGCATACCTCCACATAGACACATATACAGAACTAAAAGTGATACAAGTAAATCTTAATTTAAAAAAAAGAAAGAAAGGAGGAAGGAAGGAAGCTGGGTATATTGGCACACACCTTTAATCCCAATACTTGGGAGGCAGAGGCGGATAGATCTCTGTGAGTTTGAAGCCAGCCTGGTCTACAGAGTGTCTGGGACAGCCAAGGCTGTTGCAAAGAGAAACCCTGTCTCAAAGGAGGAAAAAAGAAAGGAAGGAAGGACATTGCACTCACTTTTGTTCATGGTAATATAGATATGGGTAGCAAAGGCACATGCCACTTTCTCCATGCACTTCTCCAATCTTGCCCTGGTTTGTAAAAGGGAAAGGTAGCCACTGTCATCTCAACATCTGTCTCCACCCTGCTAGGTAAAGTGTAGGCAAAGGCATACACTAAGGAAGCACAGCTCTTATTCTCTAATCTGATAAAATACCCAGCGTTTTCATCTAAATTTTAAAATTTAAAAAGAGAAAAAAGAGGCTACCTTTGGAATTTAGTGTCTTTAATATTATTTAAAAATACTAAGAGGGACTGGAGAGGTGGCTCATCTATTAAGAGCACTTGTTACTCTTGCAGACGACTTAAGTTTGGTTCCCAGCACCCATGTCAAATATCACACAACTACCTGTAATACCAGCTCCAGGGGATTTGATTCCCTCTTCTGTCCACCCTGTCCACCTGTACACACATGGCATATATACTAAAACAGACATATATGAATACACATAAATTTAAAGTTCTTTTTTTAAGTATATGTAATTTTTATTTATTTATTTTTTCTTTTTTATCTTATTTATTTTTTTTTATTTATTAAAAATTTCCACCTTCTCCCCGCCTCCCTTTTCCCTTCCCCTCCCCACCTCCCCCTCCCTCTCTAGCCTTAAGAGCAGTCAGGGTTCCCTGACCCATGGGAAGTCCAAGGTCCTCCCCCCTCCATCCAGGTCTATAAAGGTGAGCATCCAAACAAACCAGGCTCCCACAAAGTCAGTCCATGCAGTAGAATAAAAATCCAGTGCCATAGTCCTTGACTTCTCAGTCAGCCTTCATTGCCAGCCACGTTCAGAGTGTCCATTTTGATCACATGCTCCAACACTCCCAGTCCAGCTGACCTTGGTGAGCTCCCATTAGATCAGTCCCACCGTTTCAGTGGGTGAACATACCCCTCGTGGTCCTGACTTCCTTGCTCATGTTCTCCCTCCTTCTGCTCCTCATTTGGACTTTGGGAGCTAAGTCCAGTGCTCCAATGTGGGTCTCTGTCTCTATCTCCATCCATCGCCAGATGAAGGTTCTATGGTGATATGCAAGATATTCATCAGTGTGGCTATGGGACAAGGCCAGTTCAGGCACCCTCTCCTCTGCTGCCCAAGGAACAATCTGGGGACCTCTCCTTGGACCTGGGAACCCCTCTAGAGACAAGTCCCTAGCAAACCCTAAAATGGCTCCCTTAATTAAGATATTTACTTCCCTGCTCCCATATCCACCCTTCCTCCATTCCACCCATCCCATTCCCCCAAGCGTTCCCCAATCCTCCCCTTCTCCCCTCTTGTGGGCTCGTGCTTCAGCGAATATTGGCTGAAGCAGCAGAAGGTACTCCCGCAGCACCTCCCCCTTTTGTTTAAGTAAGAGAGTTCTAAGCCTACTACGAAATTATATACAGTAAGTACAAACCTACAAAATTATATACAATAAGTACAAATATCCTATTCTAACTAGCTAAAGTCTGGTATAATAAATAACTTGACCAAGTCATGAGAGGAAAGTAGCTACATTTATCTAGTCTTCAACCCCATAGAAGATCCGAGAAGGGAAATAATGTTACCTGAGTAATTAGGAAGTGCAATCAAAGAACTTCCAAAACATGCAACAAATCACAGAGACAACTGGCTACCTGGGCAATCACCAAAGACCTGTTTGCAGCGTTGAAGCAACCAACTTTGACTAAAGCCTAGAATAACTGACAGATTATTTTTAACAGGCAAGAGATTTTTCAAAACCATCTTACCCTGTCTTGGCAAGATTTAACAGTTCTGTTTATCCATTTCCGGATTTTATCCATTTCCGGATCTTAACAGGCAAGAGATTTTTCAAAACCGTCTTACCCTGTCTTGGTAAGATTTGACAGTTCTGCTTATCCATTTCCGGATACCGTTTATTTGTCAGTAGTTGAGGTATGGGCAGTTCCTTGCCCAGAGGCCAGTTTTGTCAAGAAGACAAGCTCCAAGTGGAGTGTCTTTGGTGCTCAACAATCTCTCGGGAATAGGTCAGTGTTGCCAGGAGTGATTGTGTCTCACTACACAGAACTCTAAGATTAAATTAAATGCCATTTTCTACAGCTCTTTGAAGAGGTTGAAGACTATTTATACAGAATATAATCTCTATGTATCTAAAGAACCTGATTAGTCTAACCATAAATATGACAGACATAGATGACTATTCTTAACACATATCTAACTTAAAGACTAAGAGAATAAACAACTGTGCAATAAATGAGGACAATGACCTCCAAATGTAAGCAATAAATATCAATACATAAACAGTATATAAGTATCTTAATCAGAGGTAAAAATGTACACTGCAATATGGTATACATATATCAATACAATATATATCAATACATAAAAAATGTTTCAAACAGGTAGAAACATGCATACATACAATATTCAATATATGCCGATGTGATTATCTATAAACAATAACTCACAAATACCATTATTATCTATCCAATTATCTTTTTTTTCTTTTTTTTTTCAAAAAGATCCCTGAGCTTATAAAATTCCTTTCCCAACTCTCAACCGTATACTAATTATAATCAATCCCTAAATATTGTTCCTAAACCTGAGGACAAACTTTGCTGAGAGAGGGGACATCATCCTCTAGAATTACTTCCAGCTGACGTGGGGGTGAGGTTCTTTCTGGAGGATCCTGTGAAAGTAAAATGATGGTTAAATTTCAAGATCAATGTCTTTTAAAATTGCAAACAGTCTCTGAGTATTTTGTGGAGGTCTGGCCAGAATGTTGTACAAGATGTGCACCATTTCAGCTAACCAAGTTGGAATCATCTGTGCAGCTGATACCCGAAACAGGACTTGTAGTAGCACTATCAGTATTATGACGTCATATCAACCGAGTGGAGTTGTTGTTATGGGGGGTCCCATCTTCTTCCTGGAAACTTCAAATGTCAGTGCAGAAAAAAACTCATTGTTCATTGTGGAAAACTTAAACATTAATTAAATAGACATATACAAACATATATTCAATGAAAGGTATGATAGACATATTCAATGAAAAGTATGATAGATATGAAGAAAAGCAAAGATGTTTTCTGTTGAAAATTCTCTGTTCAGTTCAGTACCCCATTTTTTAATTGGGTTAATTAGGGTTTTAGTGTCTGGTTTCTTGAGTTCTTTGTATATTTTGGAGATCAGACCTTTGTCTGATGAGGGGTTGGTGAAGATCTCCCAATCAATAGGTTGCCTTTTGGTCTTAATGACGGTGTTCTTTGCTTTACAGAAGCTTCTCAGTTTAAGGAGGTCCCACTTATTCATTGTTGTTCTTATTGTCTGTGCTACTAGGGTTCTACCTAGGAAGTGCTCTCCTGTGCCCAGATCTCGTAGACTACTTCCCACTTTCTCTTCTATCAGGTTCAATGTGGTCAGATTAATGTTGAGATCTTTAATCCATTTGTACTTGAGTTTTGTGCATGGTGATAGATATGGATCTAATTTCATTCTTCTACAGGTTGACATCCAGTTATGCCAACACCATTTGTTAAAGATGCTTTCTTTCTTTCATTGTATAGTTTTAGCTCCTTTGTTGAAAATCAGATGTTCATAGGTTTATGGATTAAGATATGGGTCTTCGATTCGAATCCATTGGTCAACATCTCTGTTTTTGTGCCAATACCAAGCAGTTTTCATCACTGTAGCTCTGTAATAGAGTTTGAAGTCAGGGATGGTAATGCCTCCAGAAGTACTTTTAATGTATAGGATTGTTTTGGCTATCCTGGGTTTTTTGTTTTGCCATATAAACTTGATTATTGTTCTCTCAAGGTCTGTGAAGAATTTCGCTGGGATTTTGATGGGGATTGCATTGAATCTATAGACTGCTTTTGGTAAAATTGCCATTTTTACTATGTTGATCCTCCCAATCCAAGAGCAGGGGAGATTCTTCCATTTTCTGGTATCCTCTTCAATTTCTTTCTTCAAAACCTGAAAGTTCTTGTCAAATAGATCTTTCACTTCCTTGGTTAGAGTTACCCCAAGATACTTTATGCTATTTGTGGCTATCGTGAAAGGTGATGTTTCTCTGATTTTCCTCTCCGCTTCTTTATCCTTTGTGTATAGGAGGGCCAATGATTTTTTGGAGTTGATCTTGTATCCTGCCACAGTACTAAAGGTGTTGATCAGCTGTAGGAGTTCTTTGGTAGAGTTTTTGGGGTCGCTTATGTACACTATCATATCATCTGCAAATAATGAAAGTTTGACTTCTTCCTTTCCAATTCGAATCCCCTTGATCTCTTTATGCTGTCTTATTGCTATTGCTAGAACTTCAAGCACTATAATGAAGAGGTATGGAGAGAGTGGACAGCCTTGTCTTGTTCCAGATTTTAGTGGGAAGGCTTTGAGTTTCTCTCCATTTAATTTAATGTTAGCTGTCGGCTTGCTGTATATTGCCTTTATTATATTTAGGAATGAACCTTGTATCCCTGATCTCTCCAAGACCTTTACCATAAAGGGGTGTTGAATTTTGTCAAATGCTTTTTCAGCATCCAATGAAATGATCATATGGGGTTTTTTTCTTTCAGTTTATTTATATGATGGACTACGTTGATAGATTTTCATATGTTGAACCAGCCCTGACTCTCTGGGATCAAGCCTACTTGATCATAATGTATAATTTTTTGGATGTGTTCTTGGATTCTGTTTGCGAGTATTTTATTGAGAATTTTTGCATCAGTGTTCATGAGTGAGATTGGTCTGTAATTCTTTCTTGGTTAAGTCTTTGTGTGGTTTTGGTATCAGGGTGACTGTAGCTTCATAAAAGGAGTTAGGCAATGACTGTTCTGTTTCTATTTTGTGAAACACATTAAGGAGTATAGGTATTAACTCTTCTTGGAAGTTCTGATAGAATTCTGCATTGAAACCATCTGGTCCTGGGCTTTTTTTTGGTAGGGAGGCTTCTGATGACAGCTTCTATTTCCTCGCCACTTACAGGTCTATTTAAACTGCTCACCTGGTCTTGACTTAATTTTGGTAAAATGTATTTATCTAAAAAAGTGTCCATTTCTTCCACATTTTCCAATTTTGTGGCATACAGGCTTTTGTAGTAAGATCTAATGATTCTCTGAATTTCCTCTGTGTCTGTGGTTATGTCCCCCTTTTCATTTCTGATCTTGTTAATTTGCATGTTCTCTCTCTGCCGTTTGATTAGTTTGGATAGGGGTTTGTCGATCTTGTTGTTTTTCTCCAGGAACCAGCTTTTTGTTTCATTGATTCTTTGGATTGTTTTCTGTGTTTCAATTTTGTTGATTTCAACCCTCAGTTTGATTATTTCCAGTCTTCTACTCCTCTTGGGTGAATCTGCTTCTTTTTTTCTAGAGCTTTCAGGTGTGCTGTTAAGTCTCGAATATGTGATTTCTCCATTTTCTTTAATTGGGCACTTAGTGCTATGAACTTTTTCTCTTAGCACTGCTTTTATAGTGTCCCATAGGTTTGAGTATGTTGTGTCTTTATTTTCATTAAATTCAAGGAAGACTTTAATTTCTTTATTTCTTCCTTGACCCAGGGGTGATTCAGCAGTTGTCTGTTCAGCTTCCATGAGTTTGTAGGCTTCCTGGGGGTAGCATTGTTGTTGAATTCTAACTTTAATCCATGGTGATCTGACAAGACACAGGTGGTCACTAATATTTTTTTGTATCTGTGGAAGTTTGCTTTGTTACCAAGTATGTGGCCAATTTTCGAGAAGGTTCCATGAGCTGCAGAGAAGAAGGTATATTCTTTCCTATTTAGATGGAATGTTCTATAGATGTCTGTTAAGTCCATTTGATTCAATACCTCCAATAATTCTCTTATTTCTCTGTTAGGTTTCTGTCTGATTGACCTGTCCATTGGTAAGAGAGGAGTGTTGAAATCACCCACTATTAGAGTGTGGGGTTTGATGTATGTTCTGAGTTCTAGTAATGTTTCTTTTACATATGTGGGTGCTTTTATATTAGGGGCGTAGATATTCAGGATTGAGACTACCTCCTGATGAATTGTTCCTGATATGCATATAAAGTGTCCATCTCCGTCTCTTCTGATTGATTTTAGTTTGAAATCTATTTTGTTAGATATTAGTATAGCCACACCCGCTTGTTTCTTTGGTCCATTTGATTGGAAAACCTTTTCCCAACCCTTTACTCTGAGGTAGTGTCTGTCTTTGTGGTTGAGGTGTGTTTCTTGTAGGCAGCAGAATGTTGGATCCTGATTATGTATCCATTCTTTTAACCTGTGCCTTTTAACCTGGTGAATTGAGTCCATTGATATTAAGCGATATTAATGACCAGTGGTTGTTGACTCCGGTTATTTTTCCTGGTGCGATTGTTTGTGTGTTTCCCTTCTTTGAGTTGTGCTGGTGGAGGGTTGTCAGATGCTTATGTCATTATGGGTGTTGTTAGCTTCCTTGATTTGTGGTTTTCCTTCTAGTATTTTCTGTAGGGCTGGGTTTGTGGCTACGTATTGTTTAAATCTGTTTTTGTCCTGGAATATCTTGTTTTCTCCATCGATGGTAAATGCAAGCAAAATTTTTTAACTAATTTTTATTGAGCTCTACATTTTTCTCTGCTCCACTCCCTGCCTCTCCCCTCCCGCCTCTCCTCTCCGCTTCAAGCATCTCCCAAGGTCCCCATTCTCCCAATTTACTCAGGAGATCTTGTCTTTTTCTATTTTCCATGTAGATTAGATCTATGTGTGTCTCTCTTAGAGTCCTCATTGTTGTCTAGGTTCTCTGGGATTGTGATTTGTAGGCTGGTTTTCTTTGTTTTACGTCTAAAAATCACTTATATGTGAGTACATGTGATAATTGTCTTTCTGGGTCTGGGTTACCTCACTCAAAATGATGTTTTCTAGCTCCATCCATTTGCCTGCAAAATTCAAGTGATATTGTTATTTTTTTTCCTGCGGTGTAGTATTCCATTGTGTAAATGTACCACATTTTCCTTATCTGTTCTTCGCTCGAGGGGCATTTAGGTTGTTTCCAGGTTCTGGCTATAACAAACAATGCTGCTATGAACATAGTTGAGCAAATGTCCTTGTGGCATGATTAAGCATCCTTTGGATATTTACCCAAAAGTTATATTACTGGGTCTTGAGAAAGGTTGTTTCCTAATTTTCTGAGAAATTGCCACACTGATATCGAAAGGGGTTGTACCAGCTTGCATTCCTACCAGCAATGCAGAAGTGTTCCCTTTTCCCCATAACCCCTCCAGCATAAGTTGTCATCAGTGTTTTTGATTTTGGCCATTCTTACAGGTGTAAAATGATACCTCAGAGTTGTTTTAATTTGCATTTCTCTGGTGACTAAGGATGTTGAGCATTTCCTTAAGTGCCTTTCAGTCATTTTAGATTCCTCTTTTAAGAGTTCTAAGTTTAGTTCTGTACTCCATTTTTTATTGGATTATTTGTTCTTTTGGTGACTAGTTTCTTGAGTTCTTTGTATATTTGGGAGATCAGACCTCTGTCTGATGTGGGGTTAGTATAGATTTTTTCCCATTCTGTAGGTTGTCATTTTGTCTTGTTGATTGTGTCCTTTCTTTACAGGAGCTTTTCAGTTTCAGAAGGTCCCATTTATTAATTGTTTCTCTCAGTGTCTGTGCTTCTGGGGTTCTGTTTAGGAATTGGTTCCCTGTACCCATGCATTCAAGTGTACTTCCCACTTCCTCTTGTTCAGTGTGGCTGGCTTTATGTTGAGGTCGGGTTTTTGATCCATTTGGATTTGAGTTTTGTGCATGGTGATAGATATGGATCTGTTTTCATTCTTCTACATGTTAATATCCAGTTATGCCAGCACCATTTGTTAAATATGCCTTCATTTTTCCATTTGATATATTTTGTTTCTTTGTCAAAAATCAGGTGTTCAAAGGTGTGTAGATTAATATCTGGGTCTTCTATTCGGTGCCATTGGTCCTCCTGTCTGTTTTTATGCCAATACCAGACTGTTTTCAGTACTGTACCTCTGTAGTAGAGTTTAAGGTCAGGTGTTGTGATGCAAAAGTTCTTTTATTGTACAGGATTTTTTGCTAGCCTGGGTTTTTTGTTTTTCCATATGAAGTTAAGTACTGTTTTTTTTTTTTGAGGTCAAACTGTTTTGCTGATGATATGATAGTTTATATAAGCTACCCCAAAAATTCTAGTAAGAAACTTCTACAATTCATAAACACTTTCAGAAATGTAGCAGGGTACAAGATTAACTCAAAAAAATCAGTAGCCCTCCCTCCTGTACACAGATGATAAAAGGGCTGGGGAAGAAATCAGAGAATCAACACCCTCAGAATAGCCATAAGAGTATTGGTATTAGTTCTTCTTTGAAAGTATTGTAGAATTCTGAACTGAAACCATATGGTCCTGAAATTTTTTTTTTTTGGTTGGGAGACTTTTGATGACTGTTTCTATTTCTTCAGCAGTTATAGGTCTGTTTAATTTGCTTATCTGGTCTTAATTTAATTTTGGTAAGTGATATTTATCCAGAAAGTTGTCCATTTCCTTTAAGTTTTCCAATTTTGTGGAGTACAGGTTTTTGAAATATGACCTAATGATTTTCTGGATTTCCTCCATGTCTGTTGTTATGTCCCATTTTTCATTTCTGATTTTGTTAATTTGGATATTCTCTCTCTGCCTTTTGGTTAGTTTGGATAGAGGTTTGTCTGCTTTGTTGATTTTATCGAAGAACCAACTCTCATTGATTTTTTTGTATTGTTTTCTTTGTTTCTATTTTGTTGATTTCAGCTCTCAATTTGATTATTTCCTGCTATCTAGTTCTCTTAGGTGAGTTTGATTCTTTTTGTTCTAAAGTTTTCAAATGTTCTGTTAATTCACTAGTGTAGGATTTTTCCAGCTTCTTTATATAGGCATTTAGTGCTATGAACTAAACACTGCTTTTATTGTGTCCCATAAATTTGGGTATGTTGTGTAGTCATTTTCAGTGAATTTTAGGAAGTCTTTAATTTCTCCCTTTATTTCCTCCTTGACCCATTGATAGATAATTCAGGTAAACATTGTTTAATCTCCATGTATTTGTGGGCTTTCTGGAATTAGTATTGCTGTTGAATTCTAGTTTTAAGTCATGGTGATCTGATAAGATACATGTGGTTAATCCAACTTTTTGTACTTGTTGAGGTTTGTTTTGTTACCGAGTATATGGTCAATTTTTGAGAAGGTTCCATGAAGTGCTGAGAAGAAGGTATATTCTTTTCTGTTTGGATGAAATATTCTATAGATGTCTGAAAAGTTTATTTGAGTCATAACATCTGTTAGTGCCCTTATTTCTCTGCTCATTTTTTTGTCTGACTGACCTGTTCAGTGGTGAGAGTGGAGTGCTAAAGTCTCCCACTATTAGTGTGTGGTGTTTAATGTATGATTTAAGCTTTAGAAACATTTCTTTTACATATTTGTATTTGGGGCATAGGTATTCAGTATTGAGATTTCCTCTTGATGGATTTTTTTTTCTGTGACTAATATGAAATGTTCTTCTTTGTCTCTTTGGATTGATTTTAGTTTGTAGTCTATTTTGTTAGATATTAGAATAGCTACACAAGCTATTAGGTCCATTTGATTGGAAAATTTTTTCCCAACCCTTTACATTGAGGCTATGTCTGTCTTTGAGGTTGAAGTGTGTTTCTTGTATGCAGAAGGAGAATAGATTGTTTTCGTACCCAATCTGTTAGCCTTTGCCTTTTTATAGGTGAGTTGAGACCATTTATATTAAAGGGTATTAATGACCAGTGATTGCTATCTCCTGTTAATTTAGTTTTCATTGTTGGTGATAATAATTTATGCATTTTTCCCTTCTTTGGGATTTGCTACTATGAGACCATCAATTGTCTGTGTTTTTGTTGATGGAGCCAACTTCCTCGGGTTGGAGTTTTCCTTCTAATATTTTCTGTAGGGCTGGGTTTGTGACTAGGTATTGGTTAAATCTGGTTTTGTCATGGAATATCTTATTTTATTCTTCTATGGTGATTGAATGGTTTGCTTGGTATAGTAGTCTGGGCTGGCATCTGTGGTCTCTTAATGTCTGCATAATGCTTGACCATGACCTAGCTTTATTGTCTCCAATGAAAAGTCAGGTGTAATTCTGATAGGTCTGCCTTTATGTTACTTGGCCTTTTTTCTTTGCAGCTCTTAATATTCTTTCTTTATTCTGTATCTTTAGTGTTTTGATTATTATGTGATGAGGGAACTTTTTTTTTATCCAGTCTGTGTGGTGTTCTGTAAGCTTCTTGTGTCCTCATAGGCATATCTTTCTTTAGGTTGGCAAAGTTTTCTTCTATTATTTTGTTAAATATATTTTCTGTGCTTTTGAATTGAACTTCTTCTATTCCTACTATTCTTGGGTTTGGCCTTTTCATGGTGCCCTATATTTCCTGGGTATTTTGGGTTAAACTTTTGTTAGATTTAATGCTTTATTTGACTGATGAGTCTGTTTCCTCTATTGTATCTTCAGTGCTTGAGATTCTCTCTTCCACCTCTGCTGTTTATGCTTGTGTTTGTGGCTCCTGATCATTTTCTCATGATTTCTGTTTTTTTAATTCTCTTGGCTTATGTTTTCTTTATTGTCTCTATTTCAGTTTTCAAGTCTTTAATAGTTTCTTTCATATGTTTGATTGGTTTTTCTTGATTTTCTTTAAAGGATTTACTGATGTCTTCCAATTTTTTGTTTGTCTTTCCCTCCTTTTCTTTGAGGGAATTTCTCATTTTTTCTTTAAGAGTTTCAAACATTCTCCTGAAGTTATTTTTTAGGTCATTTCTATCTTATATTTGGTTGTTCAAGTCTTGCTGTTGTACCGTCTTTAGGTTTTACTGGTGTCATGTTGTTCTTTGTGGTGTTGCATGTGTTTTACCTTTTCTACTCATCTTTTCTTCTAATAGGTGTGGTTAGGACTGTCTGTGATTCTGTTGATTAATCTTCTGGGTGCCAGTGAATCCAAGGCTCATATGGTTGTTTCTCGTGGTACAGTTAGTGCCACGGTTCAATTTACCTCGTTTGTCGCTCAGTGCTCCTGGGCTCTGCTCCACTCCCTTGGAATTTGCTGTCTCAGGCCTGCTCTAGCCTAAGTTGTTGACTCAGATCTGTTTCTGTAAATATCCCTTGTCTAGATCCACTCTTGCAGAGGTCACTGGCTTGGAATTGGTCTGTAAAGGACTCTGGCTCTGATCTACTCCCTCAGAGTTCCCAGGCTCAGGTGCATCCAGACCACAGAGGTCCTGGCTCAGGCCTAGTTCCTCAGAGGTCCTAGACTCACGCTCAGACCCACAGGGGACCTGGCTTAGGTCTACTCCCTTGAAGATCCCAGATTCACACTTGGACCTGCAGTGGTCTCTGTCTCTGGCCCACTCGCCCAGCAGTTGCTCCCCTGTACCTGCTCCTGTGGAGTTCGCTGTCTCGGGTCTGCTCTGGCCCAGGTTGTTGGCTCAGTCCTGCATCCACAAATATCCCTGGTCTGGATCTGCTCCTGCTCCCATGGAGCTTGCTTTCCCAGGCCAGCTCCTGCCTAGGTAACTGGTTTAGTCTCACTCCCATGGAACTCAACACCTTAGGCTTGCTCCAGCCTAGGTCGTTGACCCAGTCCTGCTTCTGCAAATGACCATGGTCTGGATCCACTCCTGTTCTCGTGGAGTTCACTGTCTGAGGCCTACTCTGGCCCAGGTCGCTGGCTCAGTCCTGCTCTTTTGGAAATTGCTGTCTCCAATAAACACAGTATTTTTTAAAAAGTATAAAAATTGAGTGAGATCACATATATGATGCACATGTGTTTTATGTGGTTATTACAGTATGCAGTTTCACAGTTTGAGTAGTCTTTGATGTTTTCTCTCCCTGCAGGAAATTCAATCACATCTGTGAACAGACAAGGTTCAAGAATTGAGCATTGGAGGATACACATAAAGCAGTTACAGAGCACAGGAGGCAACAAGACTATGTTTTTTTTTAAAAAAAAAAATCATATATAAATACTTTAAGGGCATTTTTAAGAGTTCTCCTTTTACAGTTCCAGCACTGGGGTTTTTGATTAGGCACTCCAGTATATATGGCTTTTCCCTTCAGTGACATACACAACACATGCACACCATGTGCCCCAGTAATCTAGGAGCTACACACACACACACACACACACACACACACACACACACTCTGTGCCCCAGTAACCTGGAAGGCCTACACACATGCACATATACCTTATGTGTGCACATGTGTGCATACACATACAAACACCATTTTTCCCAGTAACTTGGAAAGCCTACTGGCCACACTGACTTCCTAGTCGATACAGGAAAATCAACAGACCAAGAGAGAGCTCCCACTAGACAGCTCTCCCCTCGTGTGTGATGAGGCGGTGATAGTGCAGGTTTATACTTTTGTATCTTTTCTATCTTATACCTTGACTACAGCTAAAATTTAAAAGTTTCGTGGGGAAAGGGTCAACTATGTCAGAAGCATTCTATGTAAGGAAAGGAAGCATAAGTTTACAACCCCCAGGGATGTATAGGATAGTCTGTCTGGAAAGCCACATGGCCTTTTCTATATTTTTTATTTCAATAGGTTTGGTGCTTACCTTCTACTAAGAATTAAATATTAAAAACTGTAGCACAAATATTATAATTTACAAATTGACTGAAATTGGGAATAGTCTGATATTTGAAAGAATGAGCATATGTTTCTGTATTTAAAAAAAAAATTAAGTGTCCAAAACTGCTCATCCTGAGAAAGACATCTTGAGTATCCAGGTCCTTGACAGGGTGACAGGGTGAAGCCTTTGCCCTTAGTCCTCCAGTCCCTGAGAACAGCCCCCTTCTGAAACCCTAGATGGCTCTAGACTGATAGAACCTCTGCTTTCCAAGCCCTGTGCTGGGGCACTAGGTTTGTCATGTCGTCTAGAATAATACTTGAAATTTTGTTTTTCGTTTTTTTTAAAGTTTTTTTTAATCTTTTATTGAAATCACCTGTTATGTTTGTTTGCAATCTGCTAACTTTTTGCTTCTCAGGAATACAATTTTCAACTGTTGTCTTGCTCTTGATACAGACTGAGAGGCAGCACTCTGTATTTGTGGGAGGTTCTCTTTTTTGAGTCTAATAAATGAGTTGTGTTTGTTTCTCTTCTTGTGTTTTGTTCATATGTGAGGTGCCATATATTTCATGCTAATGCAGGCTGGTGCCATTAATTCACTACACTAATTCTTCACTATTCATATTTACTTTATTGCCTGTTAGTCAGTCTTGTGGCTCCACAGCAGATAGATAATGTCAAGAGGTAAACAAACAGGACTGAGCATCTTTGAACATGGCACAGGACAGTCTCTTTATTTTGCCAGTCTTGATCAATGGGAATGAATGTGTGTTGTCTGCACCTTGAGCTGTGATGCTATGCTCTGTATTCATCTCTCTCTCTCTCTCTCTCTCTCTCTCTCTCTCTCTCTCTCTCTCACACACACACACACACACACACACACACACACACACACACAGGATTCAGGACCTATCCTGGGTTACATAGGACCTGTACCTTTGCTCAGGTCTGCAGGATCCAATTCCAGAAGGAAGCATGAAGGGCATCAAACTCTTTGAGAATCATTTAATGCTCAGTTCTTTAAGGAAGCATGATGCCTGGGAGTTACTTCAGAGGGGATGAGGGGACACCACAGAGTTTCTGATGAACACATGGAGAGATCAATGCCTACATGTCAGGCTCCAGCACAAGGGCACTTTAGTTCATGGTCATGATTCCTGGGTGTGATTTGAGTGAGCTTCTCATGGAGGCAGGTTTATGGGACTCAGGCTTATGATCATCTGAACTTCCTTTCTCTAGACTCCCCCATAGCTCCTGTATTAGTTACTTTTCTTGTTGCTATGTGAAATAAGGAAGGGCTTATTTTGGCTGTCAGTTTGAAGGTATAGTCCATTGTAGTAGGAAAGGCATGTTGGTGGGAGTGTGAAGCAGCTTGTCATATTGAATCTGCAGTCAGGAAGCAGAGAAATGATTGTTGATTCTCAGCTTTCTCTTTGCATTTTGTTTTTGAGAACCCAGCCCATGAGTTGGTGCAGCCTACACTCAGCATTGGTCTCCTGTCCTGAGTTAAACCTTTCTGTAAACAACCTCATAGATACATCCATAGCTGTGTCTCCTAGATGACCTCAAATCCAATCAAGTTAATAATGAAGTTGAACCATTCCACTCCCAAAAAAACCCTGCTGTTATCTTGCAACCTTTTACCCCCATAGGATATGTAGGCTTCCTTACAGGATTTCCACTGGCTGTTTTCTCTGTATCTTGAATATACTCAGAGCAGGGGCCTGCAGATGTCCACTAAGTGTGTCTGCTTCCTGGTGCAGCAAGTGGCACTCTTTGTAACCCTGTCTGAAGTTGTGGTCAGCTTGACCTTCCCTGCCTTGCCAACTGCTGTACATTTTCCTTTGCTATCAGAAGGAACCCTTCCTGCCCTAAAGCATTCCAAGTTCAAACCAGAAGAGGGTCTTAGGAGGGCTAAAGGATGACCCCAGGGAAACTTCATTGGGCCAGGATTCCAATTACAACAGAGAAAATTGGTTTAAAACAAGAAATCCCTAGTCCCAATTACAAAGGGCTGATTATATCCTCAGATTTAATCTTGATTACTGTAGGGTGGGAGTGGAATAAGGGATGATCAGACCAGAATTCCAGCAGGCTTCCCAACCCTGAACTGGCTTTTGCTTCAAAGACAACTAAACCAGAGATGCAGTCCAATGTGGGTTTCTGCCAGTTGAGGAGACCCTCATGACAGCCTACTCTGCATTGGTCTGGCAACCTAGGAGAGAGTGGTGAGACAGGGTTGTCTTACATTGCTATAGTAAGGCTCAGCCCACAGACTCAGTGTAAGCACTGCAGCTCAGATGGAAAGGGATTCTGACAGTCAGGAGCCAAGGAACACTAGGTGCTACAGCTCAAGGGAAAGAATATAATGGCATTTGGGAACCAGGGAATACTGAGTGTTAACAGCTCAGATGGAAGCGTATTCTTGCATTGGGGAGCCAGGGAATAAGTGTTACAGCTTGGGTGGAAGAATGTTCTGGTAGTCAGAAGCCAGGGAATAGCACACGTCACTGTAACAGCATACAGCCCTGCTCTAAGGAAAGGTTTCCCCAATGTAACAGCTCTGCTTCATCAAGGGAGGGCTTCCCTAGGGAAGTTTTGTGTAACAACTCTGCTAGGGAAAGGTTTCCCCAGCTAAAGTGTTATAGCCCTGCCCCCCAACTCCTCTGTCTTCACCTCAACCTCATTCAAGAGATTTATTGAAAGGAAAGAATTCAGGAAAGTGGCTGCCTCTGCCAGGGTGAAAAAAGAGCAGCAGCAAACTGAACAGGTGTGGGGCTTATATAGGGCTTCTCAGGGGAGGAGTTCACTCAAAGGTGAAAACTTTCTCTGGAGTAGAGATGGAGTGGGGCTGTAACACTTTCTCTGGGGAAGCTTTCCCCTAACAGTGATGAGTTGTTACAACTTTGCTAAGGAGTGCAGGGGAGCAAGGCTTTAACACTTTAACTGGGGAGGAGCAGAAGGGAACTTTAGCTGGGGAAACCTTCCCCTAGCAGAGTGAGGTAACAACTTCCCTGGGGAAGTCCTCTCCTGCTGGAACAGAGCTGTTAACACTGGGGAAGTCTTTCCCTAGAGCAGGGCTGTAAACTGTTACACTTACTGTGACCTGTGCTATTCCCTGGCCCCCGACTGCCAGAATACTCTTCTACCTGAGCTATAACATTCAATATTCCCTAGCACCTGACTGTCAGAATACTATTTCATCCAAGCTGTAGCACCTAGTATTTCTTGACTCCTGACTGCCAGAATTCCTTGCCATTCAAGCTGTAATGCTTACACTGGTGACTGACTGTCTTCCTTTCCTCTTCCCAGAATTCTCCTAGTCTGGTTGCCCCACCTATACTTCCTATCTGGCTACTGGCCAATCGTTTTATTAAACCAGTATGAGTGATAAATCTTTCCAGCATACAAGAGCATTATCCCACAGCATTTTCCCTTTTTTTCTTTTCAAAACAAAACCCCTGAATCTAATCTCCTTTGTTTAGCTTTTTTCCTGACCATTATCAATAACAACTTACAGCCAACACACTAAGCAAAGACAAACATCCATAATCCATTTTGGGGGAACGTGGGTGTAGTTTTCTAGGCTACTTCCTGCTGGTTGGGGGCGCTGGGAATCTTATGGGGACCTAAAGAAAATATAGGTTTATGGTCAAGTCCTGACTGGAGTATTCTGTGAGGCTGGATCATTTCAACCAGCAGTCTTGAGTTTGTTCTAGATGTAGAACTCAGAGGAATCTGTAACAGAGGTGCTCTTAACATTGGATCATCTGGGTCATCTGCTCCTATTGGAGATTTTTCAGGATGTCCTTGATCAAACCTTATTTTTCTTAATCCAGAATGAATCCACAGCCTCTCAATTCCTGTAGAAACGAAAGCAAAACTTCTTCTCCAAAGTAACATATCTTTTGATAAGGCATTTCAAAATATATAGGTTGGATTAATCCGGCAGCATTTATAATTAAATGTCTTTTAGCAGCTGTTGCTCTTTCTTCAGCAGTCAAACAATGTAAAGACAACACAATAACATACAGTATCCAGAGTCTCTGTGTGTTTTTCCATCTTTACCTGGCTTTTTAAAATTTTTTGATTGTTTGTTTGTTTAAGACAGGGTTTTTCTGTGTATCTTTGACTGTCCTGGAACTCACTCTGTAGACCAGGCTGACCTCTGCCTCCCAAGTGCTGGGGTTAAAGGTGTGAGCAACCACATCTGACTACTCTATTTCCTTTTTTAAAGGACTTTCTTTATACTTTTTCTTTGCTCCATTCTTTTTCTTTTCTCTCCCAAGCCTATGTATATTTTTAAACACACTGTAAACCATTTTAGAACTTTTTTTCTTCTGAATTTGTTTATGCTGTATAGCTCTATCTTTTTCTAAGCACATAAGTCTTTAATATGCTAAACACCATAGCTAGGATTAAAATTGCTAGCTCTGCCCCATTCCTTAGCTTTCTGAGAGTCTAGCTTCATGGAGGAGGTACTGGCAGGAGCCATGTTTATTGCCACAGTTCTGTGGAGTTTCAAGGTCCATGTTGTTGCAAATATGGCACGAGCAGGACCCTCGTTGGTCCTATGGCAGGTGAGGATCATGGGCAGGAGACAAATATATCATGCAGTGTATATTTGAGTGTAGAGTTTATTGATATGAGGGTAAAAAAAAGATTGAAGGGAGAGAGAATGTGTGAAAAGAGAAGAAGTAGGAAAAATCTTGTCTGCCCCTTCAGAAGACCAGTGGGAAAGAGAGATTGGGAGTGGGTGGAACATGTCTCTTAAAGGGATCTTTACACCTGCCTGGGTACATTCTGCCAGATGACAGAGCAGACTAGCATAATGCCTGAACCCTAACACATACCACCATCAAGAAACCTGCCTCTGGCTGCTTGCTCATAAACACCATTTAAGTGTTTGGTGGTAAAGCCTCTTAAAAGAACTACAAGTTTTGCCACTAATGCTGAGTCAGGAAACCTCTCTTAAAAGAGCTGTGTCTCTGCTTGGCACCAGCAAACCAAGCCTACCAGAGAAAGACAGTTACCAACAAGCTGTGTTTGACTCTGTTGTTGTCTGTCTAGAATACTTTTTTCTTAAAGCTTTCTCAGGCTTTTTATGGAAATTCTTGCCAAACGTTTGGGCACCATTTGTAGATAGAAGTTTCTGTCCTGCCCAGTCCTGCAGCTATTCAGTCCCAAAGAAACACACAGAGGCCTATATTAATTATGAAATATTTGGCCTATTAGCTCAGGCTTATTATTAACTAACTCTTACAACTTAAATTAACCCATGATTCTTGTCTATACTTAGCCACATGGCTTTTCTCAGTAAGGCATTCTCATCTTGTTTCCTCTGTGTCTGGCTGGTGATTGACTCTTTGCCTTTCCTTTTTCCAGGATTCTCTTAGTCTGGTTGCCCTACCTATACTTCCTGCCTGACTTCTGGACAGTCAGTGTCTTATTAAACCAATATGAGTGACAAATCTTTATAGTATACAAGAACATTATCCCACAGTAACCCACAAAGTGAGAGAAGCCAG